TAGAAGCACCCGCCGGAGCCCGCAGGCACAGAGCGAGGCATCGCCGCTCCCTGCTTGGCGGGGAGTGGAGCGCACGGCTGGAGCGCGAGAGGGGAGGTCCCGCGGGGGTGCGGGAGCCCGGCCTCGCGGGGCGGGGGCTTCGTGCCCTGGTCCCTTTGGCCTCAGCTCGCGGCTGAGGCGTCCCGCCGTCAAGAGCCCCGGCGGCTGGCACGCTCTGCTGTGCACCCGGCAAGGATGCGAACCAGGCGAGGCCGGCGATGGGCGGGGGAGGGGTGGACCTGCCCCGGCCCCCCGGGGGGCTCCGGACCTGCGGGGAGCTGGGTGCACTCCCCGCCGAGAGTTGCTAGGAAACCGCCCCACGCTACCGAGCGCCTGGCTCTGGGGGCCCGCAGGCGCGGCGGCGGCCCGGGCGGCAGCAGCAGCAACAGCTCGGAGCAGCGTGGGCGGGACATTGGTGAGGCATGAAGTCACCGCGGCCCACACTCGCCCTTTGTTTTGCTCACTCCAGCCCTTTTTCTCCTCTTTGGCTCTGAGACTTGCCATTCCCATCGTTCACAAGAACTCCTGAAGCGTAACCGCGCAACGGGAATGGCACGCCGGGTCCCCTCTCCCCTCCTCCCCCGGGGCCTTGCACCCCGATGCTCGCCCGGCGGGCGTGGTGGCAGAGCCGCCGAGCACCCGCGGCAGCTGCGAGCATGCCCCCGCCTCTCGCCCGCGCGCTGCGCGCTGCTTTGTTCGGAGATCCTCGATGCCTCGCAGCTGCTGCTTGCAGAGCGCAGTCCGGGGACCTCTCCCCGCCCCCAGCACCCTGTGCTGCGGGGGGTGAGCACCCGCTCTGCTTGCAGAGTCGGGAGCTCGCCTTCCGCCCACCGCGAGGCTGCCCCGGGTCTCTCCAGCCCTTGGAGTGCTGGATCGGTCCGCAGGGGCTGTTCCCGGAGCTCCTGGCCGAGATTCCTCGCCGCTCCCTCTCCACGCAAAGCCTCAGCCCCGGGCTGGACAGCTCTGCATTTTCCCAGGGTCTGGTGGTGACTCTGGGCTTTTGCTAGTTACAGCGGAGCTTTTGACCTTAAGCGTCACCTTCCCAGTAAACGGAACAAAGAAGTTACAGACGGCAGCAAAGCGGGGAGAGAGAAGCCAAGGAGAGGAGGTGGGAGGGTATTTCTGCCTGCTTGCAACTCAGAAATGTAGGTGCAGGCGGGGCGCGGGTGTTATCCGGGGCGGCTGTCCGGGAAGCAGTGCGCCCCCTCGGGTTCTGCCACTACCACGCTGAGCTGAGGGAGAGAACCCAGTCCTCTGGGCTGGAAACGAATCACTGTTTCTGGCTTGAGACACAGGGCTATGGTTCTCTTTTTCCTCTAGGGGCAGGAGTGGTTCTCCGTCGTAAAGTCTGGCCGCTCATTTTTCCACTAGTAACTTACTCTTTAATGAACACCCGCCTGTTCAGGCATCACACCAGTCCAGCAAGGTCAAGGTGAAATATGCGGGAGTTTCCCTCCTTCTTATTTGTTTAATAGTTTCCGTCTCCTTGTTTGTGGTTTAAAAAAAAAAAAAGTAGGAGGCGCTCTCTCTCTCTCTCTCTCTCTCTCTCTCTCTCTCTCGCTCTCTCTCGCTCTCTCTCTTCTGTTTTCTAATTGTTTACCGACTGAATGGAAAGTACCTGGGTAATAAACCACAACATAGAAAACTCCCCCTTTTCAGGTGTGGACTGCACATTGGGGTGCACAGAATGAGCTAAGCAAACCAGGAACCCAGCTGGAAAATTAAAAGTGCCCTTCATCTACCAAACAGGCCCTTTTGAGAGACCAAAGGCATGATCCAAACCTTAACTGATACTTGTAAACACAATACTGCTACAGGCAATGTACTCTAAATAAATATAATCAAATCCAGCTCAGCACCAGTTTTTATTTCCTTTCCTTAGTTCCAAGTCTGAACAGCTAGGACTGTTTTTTGGTGGTCCTAAAGGACCAAAAAAATAGGGCAAGATAGTTGGAACGAGTGTGAGGGCTTGAGGATTTGAACACAAAAGTAACATATTGAAAAATCTGTTTAGGGACTCTTCAATGGGATGACATGTGCATTTTCTGGAGATGATGTCACAGGCCTATGGAATGCAGCCACCTTGAGACAGTGAAGTGCTGCAATGAAGAAAGCAATTAAATTCCTATTTCCCATAGGGATGTGTGTGTAAGTTCACTTTGTGCTTTATTAAAGTGATGATCACATCAATGCTTCATGACATATTTTTTTAAGTCTAACTCTTGATGCTGGATTGTAAATGGCAATTATAGTAATAAAATATAAGTAAGAAATGATGTAACTGTGAAATTGAAGGAGTATGAACTAATTTTTGTAACTATATTTTTTAGGTGTTGAGATATTCTAATATACAAAGCCAAAACAACTGTCTAGCAAAAGGAATGAAATGAAGCTCAGAATTCTATTTCTAGAAATGTTGAAATCCTTTAGAAAGAAATGTTTCTACATTTTGTTACATGAAGCCCATACGAATATATGTCAGAATGCCAGTTTTATAGCTGTTGAAGAATAAGCACAGTACCATTAACACTTCTCTGTTGTAAAGAGATTGTAACTCTGGTTGTTGAAATAAAATAAGACAGAATATCCTACATGAGAGTCTGTGATTCCTGCAAGTTGTTTGCAAACAAGCTATCTGTACATTTCTATAAAGAGAGAAATAAAGATGCAAAGAAGAAATAAAGGTTATAAAGATAAAAGTAAACCTGCAAAAAACAACAACAAACAACAACATAAAACACCTCCTGAAAACCTGCAAATTATCTGTAGGGTTTTCTTAATGTATATGTAGCTAGTGGTCCAGGAACAAAAAAGTTTACTTGTTTCCAATAAATGTCACTAGTAACCATAACTAACCTTTTTCCTGTAAGAAAATGTACAGCATATTATAAAAAATGCAGAATTATTGTATTTATCCTATTAAGTGAAGAAGTCTAATAGAGGGAAAATGCTTCAGAAGATGATGACTTGATGAAGTTCTGGTTTTCCATCATGTTCTACTGTCTTTCTTTGAAAGTTCTGACAACTAGCCGGGCTCGGTGGCTCAGCCTGTAATCCCGCGCCTTTGGGAGGCTGAGGTGAGGGGATTGCCTGAGCCCGCGGGTTCGAGACCCGCCTGGGCAGCGAGACCTCATCTCTACAATAAATCAAAAAATCGGCTGGGCGTGGTAGCGCATGCCTGTAATTCCGGCTACTCAGAGGGCTGAGGCGGAAGGATTGCTGGAGCCCGGCAGGCGAGGCTG